ACACACTGCTGCATTACTTACTTCTACCCCATGATGCATGGGATGATCCCATGTTTTGTGAGATATAAGCTCAATCCCATGTTCCACATAAGTAGGGCCACTAATCACCCCACTTTTTCAGTTAAATCATCCGCCTATTTAAGTGCTTCACAATCCAATAAACACCTGGTGTGTCGTCACATGATCAATTTACTCTTCACTTCTGTGCAACCATGGTGTTCCGCAGACTTAGAGAGCTTAGTGTATCATATGCACAACTATTTTCTATTCGGGTTAGAGTGATTCGAATATTGGCAACAATCATTGCTGGTCTTGAAGGGATTCAGTACCTCAACATGTTGTTGTTGGATGATGAGGTTAGCTAACACATCTCATGCCTTAAGTTTTCTGGACCTTGCGTTGACAAGCTCATGATTTATAAGAATATCCATGCACTGTAAAAATTCCATGCCGTAACTTGCATTCCAGTTTGTCGTTTTTATGCATCTTGGTTGAGAAAATGATTTCTGCGACCTGCATACTTGGTCCTGTGAATAGAATATATATAAAGTCAGCAGAGAGTTTTGTTTCGCTTAGTTTGGCATACGTAACAAGGGATTATTTAGTTGACACATAGTCACAGCCATCAAAATACATACATTCACATCGTTAAAGAAGAAAAATAGATTTGACCCATGGAATGGTGAATTTAATTATTGCAATGATGGATGCATGGATCAGTGTTTTTGACGGCAATAAAACATTCAATTTTTGGAGTGAAATTAAGGCGACAAACCAATACTTTAGGCCCTACAACAACTTCTTAAATTAATGTTTCATGCACCTTATCTTTATTCACCTATAGACCAAGTCATTCCAAATTGAAAACACGAGTGGCTATACTCAAATTCCAACCATAACCTCTAAACATCATCACCTGAACTGAATGAAACACAAACCATTACCCAAATTCATGATTTGGTTATTTTTTTAATCATAGGGAACAGAGATGGAAGCTGTCATTCATAGTGCAGAAGTCCCCAAGCTCAAAGATGTTGTGCATGAGGGAGGGATATATGCATTAGGAAAGTTTGAAGTTCAACCATTCAATGTACTCCATAGAGTTGTTGTTACACCTTTGCGAATCGCTTTCCACACTAACATGTCCATTCAAGCGATGCTGAATACAACAGACATACCTGATTTTTTCTTCCGATTCCTATCTTGGAATGAAATTCCACATGCACATGCAAATCATAAATATATGCATGGTAAGATGGAACCAAATTAGTATTTCACTTCTTTTGCATAGCTTTCAGGTATGCAATCAAATAATTTATTTTTTGTTAACAGATATTGTTGGACACATTGTTGCTGCTCAACCGACTGAGGGTCTCTTCGAGGGCCTTTTAACTGTGAGGAAAAAATGTGTTTTCATAAGGCTTTTTCGGTAAGTAATTTCTTATTAAATTTAGTCTTTCGGTTCTATATGACAAGGTCAGTGTTTCTGTCCGATTTAATGTTCCCACATGTTTACGTTAGGGGAGTCGCTGTTGAAGTCCTCCTCTTTGATTCCCTGATTGATGAATTTGAAGCTACAATTCCTAATCAGCCCCAAGTAGAAACGTTGGCAGCATTCACTTCTGTCTATGTCTACAAGAACTATATTGGTACTACCACTTCTCTTGCAGCTTACCTGTTATACCAGTTGATTTCAAGTGCACCACCTGCACATCTGATTTGGTATTCGATGCTTTTAGGTTATTACTATTTTGCATGCTCGCGTGCCAGCAAAGTGTATTTCACCTTACCTCAAACTCAGTTAAACCCTCAACCAGTTCGGTTAGTCAGTCACTCCAACTATTCTTCATTCATACCCTAGAGATCTCATTATCCCAATCCAGCCTTCACTCTCACAGACTCTTAGAAAATGCCTGTTTACCCAATTGCACGATTGACTCTTCATGGCAATTGGTGGGCTATCTGAGTTAGGTCGTTGAGGTTATGGGTCAAATTGGCTGCAAATGGCGACACCATTCAACATGTGATGCTTTTGTACCTTGACAAATTGGTAAGTATTTCTTGCTATTTACTATCTTAATCACAATGTCCTCCCACTTAATTATATTCCATGTTATTCTATATAGGGCATACAGATTCAAGCCGTCATCCGTTGTTGTGATATACACACATTTCTGTCGACATTTTGTCCAAGCGGGATATATAAAATCAGCGATTTTGATGTTGAAGAAAACTTCTCCTCCCAACGGGTTGCTGTAAATGATTTGATGATTCATTTTATGGCAATACGTTGGTTGAACAGCTCGAAGAGGCATTGGGCATCCCCCATTTCAGCTTTCAATTTTTGTCCTCCTGGGACTTCCCTCTTGTTGTGGCCAACCCATTATACCTCCCAGGTACCTTCTGTCTTTGCTTCTTTTTAGTTGTAGGCAAATGTTTTACATTCAATCGTCACAAGAACACTATATGACTCATGCTTCAATATTTATTTAGATTTGGTAGGTGTTGTCGTGAACTGTGCGCCAATTATGTTGTCATACCCCACTGTTCCCACTCTTCGCAACAAATGAATCTTGCTTGGATTGCTTGAGTTAGTATGGATTCACAATTTAAAATTTTTCCTTCATATACAATTATCCATATTTATTACAATATTCACGTCATCTAGGGGAGACATAATTGAAATATTATTATGGGACTCTTTGATCACAATGTTTGAAGCTCTTACAACCGATGATGCAGCAGACTCTTTGATCACAATGTTTGAAGCTCTTACAACCGATGATGCATCAGTTGGTCAAGTTGTTGTTTTCACTTCTTTTTATCCACAAAAACGAAATTACATATCATAAGGTCGCTTTCATTTACTTTTTATGTCTACATTTCTGCATGGTTGTGATTTTTTTCATTGAATGGCTATATATATATATATCGTTTTTACCTTATAGTTCAACTTATATATGTCTCTAAATATTATTATCAATCAACTGCCTGCCATTATTTTTTGAATGTTACATGTTCCTTAGGACATTATTCATTTCATGCCTCTTGAGCGACAAAGATTTATGTCAAACTTCATTGTCCCCGCCAGCACCCATTGTTAAATCAGTGAGTGTTTCTTTAGGTCAGTCTTCATTATTCCTTTCATGCCTCTCGAGCAACAAAGATTTATGTCAATCTTCATTGTCCACGCCAGCACCCATTGTTAAATCGGTGAGTGTTTCTTATGCAATATATTGTTTGGGGATGAGAATCTATCCTAATCTTATTAGTATTAAGATTAAAACAAATTCCCATTTTAGGCAACTAAATGCCTCCATGGCCGCACGACTAGCATATGCGGATGCCATATCAAGATCCCAATATTCTTCAGTTCACGAACTCAACTCTGTTAAACGCGATCAAGAGAATATGGTAAAATGAACCTCTACCTCTTAACATTGCTACTATAGCATTGTTATGATGATTTTCCCATTCTCTTTTGGTTTTTGGATTAACGAATTGCCTCCTGATTTGTGTAGGAAAACAATTACATATTTCGTGGTGAAGTGAAAGAAGTAGCCATTTCCTGAGTTGATGCTTTTTGCGTATATATGGTACACCTAACATTCGCAAATGGAGGAACTATAATTGAAGTCGTGTTTCTGTCATCTACGTTTAGAAGAATAGCTACCAATATTGTGGACATTGTTGACACTGCTTGGGGGGACTACTACTTCAACATCTTGGCTTCTCTACATGGAAATTCATATGAGTTTATGGTCAATGTGGGAATGTGTTACAATTCGACCAATGGTGATATGCTCTTGCAAAAAATATTTCCTCTTTAGGTCTACTTTCTTTTCGTTCACTTATACAATTGTGCATCGACTTAGACTTATTGTTTGAAGTCTGTCCTTTCTATTAAGTCCAAGAACACAGGTCTCTTGGTTATATGGTACAATTGCGAAACTAATTCATTTATTTCATCCTACTTCGTGCACTTTTTTTCCACACCCGCCAAGTTTTTTACATTGTAGCTACCTAGGCCATGTGGAACAAAAAAATCTTTCCTTTCAACCGAATGACCACCAAATTCGTCTATTTAAATGTACCACTCTATCGGTATGAACTAATATAAATGCATGAAGCACAAAGGTTGATTGATCAACTACTATATTTAGACATAGATTTACGCTGAAAATTATCCATACAACCCAACCTGACTTCCTAGTTCCTTTCCGGCCAACAGGCCGGGCTTACAACTAGTCGAGAAGTACGAGTATAGATCAGAGTCTAGATCAAATATTGCATAATCCAAATTAGACCATGCTTGCGTGGTAGTCTAGTACATTTAGATCATGCAGACCAAATTGAGCAATTAATGAAAAATTTGCGTAGTCAATCACATTTAAAATAGCATCAACTATGGAGACAAAATCTATTTTTCCTTAGACCATGAATTTTAACACATGCATAAGTTTGATACCATAAATCCAAGTAAATAACAAAAATACAAAGTCTCAAAGTAATCCACTTTGCATCATAACATCATAATTCATAAACATTAAAGGGTAAATTCCAAGTTTGATCACTGGATTTACTAAATATTGTCATGTTTAGTCACTAGAAAAATTAATATCAATCATGGTCACTAAGTTTGGCAAAACATGTCATGTTTGGTCACTCTCCGTTAGTCTCTCCGTCCAATTTTGTTAATAAAGTCTGTTAAGTGTTGATGTGGCAAACATAATCGCCTAGTCAGCCAAATTTAACTAAACAAAAGTAAAACTCCACTTGTCACATCATTAAAACTCGCCACATCATTAAAACCAACCCAACCCTGGGTCCAACTCTTTATATTCTTCTCTAGACCTAACCTGAACCTTCTTCCTCCTTCCTCCCACCTCGTACTTTCCCCTAATCCACCACCGCCAAGATCCCATCAACTAATATACATATTGCCCACACCAAGATCTCCCTCTTGTCTTTGTTCTTACTCCTACCCACACAACATCGGAATGCAATGCAGGTATTGGCGGCGTATGGATTGGCGGCGGAGTGACCTCCCCTCAAAACCCCAATTTTGCGGTCGGCTCCACCCCTTACTCTGCTCTCCAGGCCTGGAAATCCGTAATCTCCGTTGGCCCTTCCGGCGTCCTCACCACCTAGGTCGGCCAGAATGTATGCTCCTACAAGGGGATCTTCTGCAAACAACAATCCACTCTTTTTCTTCCACCCCACAGTCACCGGAATAGATCTCAACTGCGGAAATCTCCAAGGAAGAGCTTTCCCTCTTCACCGATCTAACTCTCCTCCACCTCAATTCCAACAGATTCTACGGCATCGTCCCAGAGACATTTTGTGACCTAATTTCCCTCCAGGTATTAGACCTCAGCAACAACCGATTCTCCAACGAGTTCCCTCCTCCGTCCTCTACATCCCCAATCTTGTCTACCTCGACCTCCAGTTAAACTACTTCTTGGGTCCAATCCCTGATGCCCTCTTTGACAAACGCCTCGACGCCATCTTCCTCAACAACAACCAATTCGACAGTGAAATCCTGGACAATTTCGGCAAGTCCCCGGCCTGCGTCAATAATTTGGGATACAAAAAGTTCACTGGATAAATCCCCTTAAGCCTGGGGTTCACGAACTCAAGACTCAGAGATTCTCTTCCTCAACAATCAACTCACAGGGTGCGTCCCCGAAGGAATCGAGCTCTTCTCCCTTACGCAGGTTTTCGATGTGAGCTTCAATTCGCTGATGGGTCATTTGCCCAAGATCGAAGTTCTGAACTTGGCACATAGTGAGCTCTCCGGGCCGGTTCAGAGCTGGTTTGCTCGCTGCGGAGCTTGGTGAACTTGACGGTGGCGTACAATTTCTTTTCTAGGTTTAGTCATCACTCAGGAGTGCGCGAAACTATTTGTGGGGAACGTCAGGTTCAATTTCTAGTCAAATTGTATCCCCAGGAGGGATATGCAGCGGCCGTAGCCGGAGTGCTCGTTGGTGCCTGGCGGCGGGTTGAGTTGTTTGAGGATTCCGGCGGCCCAGCCGCTGGTTTGTGGATTTGGGGAAAGTAGAAGGTGGGAGGAAGGAGGAAGAAGGTTTGGGTTGGTTCAAGAGTTGGGTTGGGTGTATGACATGGCGGGTCGAGTTTGGCCATTTTTTGCCCAAAACGGCGCTAACTGGACGCTCTTGTTAGCCACGTCAGCACTTAACGGTCTCTGTTAACGAATTTGAATGGAGGCTAACAGAGAGTGACTAAATGTGACATGTTTTAGTAATTTGATTGACCAAAGTTAATATTTTTTAGTGACTAAACATGACACAATTTAGTTATCCTAGTGACTAAATGTGGCATTAACCCAAGTACATTAAATAATGTCATATGAAGACACGATTGTCTCTACTCTATGGGGAAGCGTTGTTCATGAAGAAGTAGGGGACGAGATTCACGAAATTCGGGTTGATACTTGGGTCTATAAGGATAACATTCCCTTTTATTGCAAGGATAACATTCCCTTTTACTAGTGAGCTATACGGAAAAGTGTCCTCTTTCAATTTCAATTTTCGTTTTGGTTTTTTTGTCACAAAAATTATTTTTCTTGCAATTATGGTTTTGACTTTTGACAATGTTGTCAACTTGATTTAATCGTTGGCTTGATCGAGGAAGTGAGATAAGAGTTCAAATCGGTTTTTAGTTTAGCTCATTGAAATTGAAGTCACATGTATAGCAGTCAAAACAGAGATCGACCCGAATAACTCGCCCGGTCAATCTAAGCCGCAACCCGAATCGACTAAACGTCAACGACTCGTAATCCGCCCGACCCGTAACCCGATTGACCCGTAGCCCAATTATCTTGCAACCCGACTAACCCGAACCCGCCCGATTGATCCGAATAATTACCATATTATATAATATATAGTCTTTCAAACTGAAGTTTTTCTTTCTTAAACCTAAGTAAAGCCATTTTTATTTCGTAAAGGAAAGTTAAAAAAATCACTTGAAAGAAGGTACAATTTTAAAAATTGAAAATTTTCAAAAATAAAGTTCACTTGAACATTAATTTCTAGAAAATTTTGCAGAATTTAATACAAAATATAAAGAAGCACAATGCCAATATTGATAATGAATAATCAACCGTTGAGACAATGTATACCATTAATATGGTATACATACAATTGGTTAATTTCAGCAATGTAATCAATTAAATATAAATATAGCAAAGTAATGTGTTTGATAATTTGATTATTTTAAAATGAGTGAAAATTTTGGTGTTTGCAGCTTTTTTAGAACAGAAAGAAAATGAAAATTTGTTGCTTTCAATTTTTTTAAAAGAAATAAGTGGAAAATTTTGGTGCATTTGTTTATTAAAAGAGAAATAAGGGGGAAATTTCGTGTTTTACACTTTTGGGAAAGGAAATATGGAAGAAAGTTGGTGTTTAATATTTTAGAAGAGAAAGAAGAAGGATACTTGAATGCTTTAATTTATGGAAAGTCAAAGGATAAGACTAATTTTCGTGTTTGGAAATTTTTTTGTGCTTTGCCCCTTTGGTGTATCAAAATTTCAATCATTCAAATATAAATTTGTATGTGGAGGGCATGACTAGCTGACTTTATTAGATTTGAGAACCTATCATGAGTTATCTTATCTTCAATATAATACCACTTGAACTATCTCAAATCTATGTTATTTTACATTATAAATCATATACTTATTTACTTATCATGCAATTTGATTATCAATGTTCACTTATGATAGTTTATGTGTTTAACATTTAGTGACTCATACATTGTTGATAGTAAAGGTTAGTATAGTTTTATAGGGCATGACTAATTGGAAATAGTATATTTGAAAACATATCATGAGTTATCTTATCTCATTAATGTCACTCGAGCTATCTCAAATGCAGACTATTTTACATTATAGATCATATACTTAATTATTTACCAATGTGATTATCGCAACCTTTACAGTCACGGGCATAGAGTTTAGCAATTAGTAACTAAGATATTTTATATAATAAATCTTGTTATAACCTTATAGGAAACGACTATTTGGTTATAATATACATGATAACCTATCATGAGTCATCTTATCATAATAAACCAATCGCTTTTATTATAGTACATACAAACTAACACCCAGTACATGAACTAATTTAACAACTTCCGATAAACAATGTACTTATCTAGATATGAACTTATTTCTCGTTTGCTCTAGGTTGCTAGTTTTCTGCAATCGATGGCTTCTAATGCTCGATCGAGCATATGTTTAATGGTTTAATTTTTCCTTATTGCTTCATTGTTTAGGGTGATTACCTCTCACCATTAGTGTTATTACCTACTTGAATCGTAAGGGATGACAAGAACGAGACAAGAAAAAGAAGTGAAAATTTTCAATTCAAATCAAACTCGAGCAACGAATATACGACGTGATGGGATTACAAATAAGTTGTGGGATAGCAATGTGATTCATATTAAAAATTATAATAATCACTAAAGTTTTACGATACTCCATCAAAAGATGGTGGCAATCAATTATCAGAAAACAGTATGAAGTAACTAAACAGGTTTTCATTTTCAGAGTCCAGTTTCAGAACTCACCAAATTCTCAGCTAAACAAGTTTCTTTAGGTTTTGTTTCTCAGAAAACGATAGCTTCGTTTTTCATTTTAGTTTGTTTTCTGTTGCAACATCCATAAGAAATGGAATGGCAAGTAAACTGCCTATTAATTTTACTACTAAATCTTTTAATCTTAAAATCACATAAAATTTCGGTTAAAATCTGTAAAACTTATAAACTCTATGATTTACATGTTTTTATACGATTTTAAGGTTTAAAGTCAATTGAAGCAATTTTCCCAACAGTGAAAAATTTCCAACGAATTTCTCCCAACACTGGATTTTGTCCAGCAAAATTCCAATATTAAGTTTGGGGGGAAAGGAAAGAACCCGCGGGTAGATTTCCAAATTTTCAGATGAAATTTTTTAAAACGGACGCAGATTGGGAAATTTATCCATGCCATCGATCCACATATTGACGAGCTTTCATCACCAACCACCGATTTAATATTATCTACGGTGGAAACAGGTCCTTTTGTCTGCGACAAAGATTGATTCAATTTCAACCAAAGCCTTCCCTTTCTATATTTACCTTCAAACAGGTCCTTTTGCTCTGTGACCAAAAATGATTCAATTTCAATCAAAGCTATTCCCCTTTCTATATTTACCTTCAAACTATTTTGCTAATCACTCACGCACTTCTATGCTTCTCCAAATTAGCTCACCCGAGGAAAATTTACTAGATCTATCAGTTAAATGTCCAGTGGTGGCAAGGGAGAAAGGGGCTGGGAAAGGGAGGAGTGAAGCGTCAACACAAGGGACAGCATCCACAGAATCACCAAGCCGAGGATTCAGGACTTGGCTCGTAGAGGTGGGGTGAAGAGAATCAACGGGGTGATCTATGAGACTAAAGACATTCTTAAGATCTTCTTGGAGAATATCATCGGCGATACTATGACCTACACGGAGAACTCCTGACACAAACGGGGACGGCGATGGATGTTGTCTGTACTCCGAAGAGGCAGGGCAGGACTCTCTACGGATTTGGCGGTTAAGGGAATCTAGGTAGTGGGAAGAGAAGTCTTACTCGTCTAAAGATGATATGTCTAGCTTAGGGTTCCTGTTTTTCAATTGCTTTTTAGATTCTACTCTTCAATTGATTTATTTCATAGATTGTAGCTCGCACTTTGATTTGAATTGCCACCAGCGGGAATTAAGTTTAATACGGATGTTGGCAGAAATTGTAGGGGTGAGGTTGGGTTTGGATGCGTGATCGAAGACCAGAATGGGGGCAACCCGAGCTGAAACAGAGAATTGAAATGTAATAGGACTTGAAATGTGACAAAGGAACATAAACTAGCGTAAAATAGGCTAGAGTATGATAAACATTACGCGAAACAATCAAAAAATGAGAGGTAAAACATTTGTAAATGTGTAGTCATCAATAATTTAAGAAAATTTGATGACTAGTCTGTAATTTAATTCTGAGTACTATATAGTAATGCATCCCCCGCCGCTCTCACTCTCGGTTTCTCCCCATCTCTCCTATCATTCCAAGAAAAGAAGAACACATCTTCCCTCCCTCCCTCTTCCTTCTTGTCTCTCTCACTTCCTATCTCATCATCACAATGATTTTCTATTTCTTTGATATCGACCCGTTGTCATTGGGGGAATGGAGGTAGCCAACACAAGGAAGAAACAAGCAAGGTGAATGGCTGAGAGATGGTGTTGGCACGAGCTTCAGCTTCAATCATTGTTTCTTGAGGTAGAAGAGGAGAAACTATGATTTTTTATGTTTCTTTCTACCAAGCTCCAATTGCTCAAATGCACATTAAGAATTTTTTTCGCTTGATGGTTGGAAACTTTGGGCGGGATGGTCAGTTCGTCCAGTTTGAACGATTAATTGTCGAACTGTTATCCAACCGTGCAGTTCAAAATTGGAGTTTAATAAATTATTCGGATCTAGCTGGTGACGGATCCCGGTTTTTTACCGATCGGATCGAATGACTCAACCCGATGTTAACATCATTGTTTGTATCTATTGATGTTTAATCATGTTTCC